GAACGCTTCTTTGTAGTCTCTGCTTTGCTTGGTTGAGTTTTGACAGTTTCCATTGCGTTGCTCCACATCCCACTGCCTCTTAGCACTATTGGCTGCCTACAGTGCACTAGTGCCGCACCTCTCTGCTATGTGAATACAGTGCCGCACCTCTCTGCTATGTGAAAGTTCGCGCTGGAATTACGTGCTCCACTTCAGTGCTGCACCTCTCTGCTATGTGCTCCACTTCAGTGGTTACGGTGCAAAACACATGAACACTAATTCCACTTGGATTGCCACGTTGCTTTCCCGCTAGTTTCATTCTGCGCTGCCCAAGCTAGCGAGTTAGCACTGAGTGCTCTTGTTTACCCTGTGAAATTCAGTGCCGAGTTTCAGTGCTAAATATATTTTCCTCATTAGCTGGTTTTAGCACGTTATATTCCCCCTTCTTTATAGGTTGAATATCGTGTGAACTGTGAAAGTTTAACGCTCCAGCTGGTTAGCGCTTGCTTTTTAGCGAGGTTCAAAACTTGCCAATCTACCAAACAACCGTGAAGTGTTGCACCGATTTCAGGAAGCATGTGGCTGATAATAATTATGTGTGCGGTGTAGCTCTGGACAGCAGCTGGCTTTGTGAACGGGGAGCGTCATTCTTATTGCTGGTTGCACTACTAACAAGTAGCAGCTGTATGAAACGGGTCTCCTTGATGATTGCAAAAATCTACAATTCTACACATGAAAGCTGGGTAAAATAAGCATTTGACCACAATAATTATCATTCTAATATTATTATGGTCTGTGGCTGCTGAGAATTCATGTTGCGAAGAACAAAAAATATGCTGAACTATTCTGGATGATACAAGACTTCCTATAGTAGGCACCTATTGGCTTCTACAGAAAATACATTGGCAATATTGCCAGTTACAAGACACAAAGTAACAATACTATTATGTTTCACTGAAAGACTACAGCTAGAAAAAGGTGTCAGCAGACGAGCAAGGACAAGACAGGGACGTTTCATTGCGAACATGTTTGGTACGGACGCAGCAGTATAATGTCATGCAATACAATTGTGGCCCTGTGTGCATGCATGGGTGCAAGTGTGTCATCCAGCAAGTACACGTATTGACCACACACATATACACATACCATTCACAAAACTGTCATGAAGCCAGGACAAGACAGGAGCACACATCACTCCAAGGACGTGGCAGTAAAGCAACCAGGTCACAGAGTCGATGGTGACTGACACTCCAGTCTCCGGTAACACATCGCCATGGTTCAGGAGTGCAAGCGCTTTGTCAAAGTCATGGGATGCCTGTCAAGAATGTATCGGGTAGCGTCGGCAGTGAACACCGTTTCAGAAACACTCTGCTGGAGCGTCAGCAGTGAACACCGTTTCAGAAACACTCTGCTGGAAAGGCATTCAAGCAGTGCCCAACCACAGGAGCTGCTGCTGCAGCTAGTGCTTGAGCACTGCTTGACAGGCCGTTGATATACACAAAATGGGTAAAACGAAGAAGAAAGAATAAGCCACATTTCTAGCAGACCCGGTGGTGGCTCTGCTGCTGGCTTCACTTGCACTAGCAGCAGCACCATCAGTGTATAGGACACTGGGCATGGTACTGATTGGCGGTAAGATTCAACAGCCAGCCTATGTGTGCATGTGCACATTATTATGGACCAGGACTAGGATGACTAGGCATGCAGCTAGCACCACCATAGCTGGAAATCTGGCTATTGAGCATAGCTAGAAGGACCGGTGGTGCTGATGAACACCAGCAGCAGCAGCATCAGCATCAGTTCAGAAAGGTAGAGCGGCCGGTGGGTACTTGGTATGCAGTGCTGTCCTGCGAACTGTAGACAGGTGACTGTACCCTAGCTTGTCCAACATCTGTATTGTACACACGCACGCACGCACGCACACACACACACACACACACACACACACACACACACACACACACACACGGGAAAGTGCACACACATATATACATTTAAATTATAGTATAAAAAACCTCCAGTCATTTGCGTGTTCTAAAAAGCAGTTAATATTTCTGGTAATAGGGAGGTTCTGCTCTACGTGTTGGGAACGCGACGCAAAGAATCACGCGAACTTTCTTCGCGTTCCCGTAACGTAAAGAAATGCTGTTCTGCTCTACGTTTCACCTGGAGAAGTCACGTGGAATGTGTACTGGGAATTTCCCCTTCCATATTTGGCCGTTTTCTGCATGCAGTTGATCGATACCCAGCAAATCCGTACGCATTTTCTCTGCGTGTGCCACAACGTAGAGAACCCCATCTCCGCGTAGAAATCTGGAGCCAAAACACGCGAAGCCGTAGACTCTAACCCAGACACCTGCTCTCTACGTGATTTCTCTACGTTTCACGTATAGCAGAACCTCTCTAATCACTCAGATAAAAAACCTGGTGCTATAAAAAACCTGTACAAAAAACCTGGAGCTGTAAAAAACCTGTATAAAAAACCTGGTGCTGTAAAAATCTTGTGCTATAAAAAACCACT